AAATAATTTTTTTAAATTTTTATATCATGAACATGAACATAAGCTTTTATCATTAATAGAATACAATTAAAATAATATCACATTTTTGTACTTTCATATTGGTGTAGATTGACAAGTTTGAAATACAGAGGGTTGATGAGGGGCAAGCAGATGCAATTAATCATAGTTAAACAGTATGCATTGGTATGAAACTTTTTGGAAAGTTATTTGGCAGTATGTTACACTTTAAATATTTTTTTATCCAGAAATTTCACTTTTAAAATAAATATACGTGAATTTTATTTATATTTATATATAATAATACATAGTTTATATATTATATATACATTTGTGGGGTATTAGGAAAAGACCATCAAACCAAAAAAAACCTAAATGGTCATCAGTATCATGAGACTGGTTGGTAAATTTTAGCAAATCCATGCAATGGACTCCTATAAGCCTAGTGCAGACCCTGTGTTCACTCTTACAGTCATTCGGATGTAGGCAATGGAGGATGGGGATGGGGCAACTGAAGGCAAAGCAGGATCATAGCTACCATCAGGAAGGTTTTGTGTTTGGAGGTTTCACTAGCTTTACCAGAACACTTCAATCAAGGAAGTCAGTTTTCCAAAGAAAAGGGAGAATGATATTAGCAGAAGTGAGCACAGAGTATGCAGAAAGAGCAGCTGCTCACAACAGTACCGGCTGAGAGTCCTATGGGGTAACAGTCTTGTTTTCATAGCATAGTGACAGTTGTTCCACATTTGCTGAGATACACCGAGCCTGATGGGGTAGTGCTCCCGGATTTATAGAGCAGTGTCTCAGTCTGTCCCACAAGATTACCATGAGGCCTTCTTGGGAGGAAATAGCAATTTGGCCATGGCTTACCCATGAGTACGTGCCTCTGCTCCACGTGACTTCAGCAAGGGTAGCTCAACTTGAGGCTGGAAGATTCACTTCCAAGATCGCTCACACACAGGGCTGGCGAGTTGGTGCTGTTAAAGGGGAAATCAGCCAGCACTGAGAGCCACAGGCCTTACTTAGTTCCCTTCCATGTGGTCCTTCCTTTAGTGCATGAAACTCAGTTCCAGGAGTGACTATCTCAAGAGGTAGGACGTGAATACTATGGGTTTCATAAGACTTGAGCCTGGAAATTATTCCAGCATCACCTAAGCTGTATTCTGTTGGTCACAGAGCCTAGATTCAAGGAAAGGGACATAGACTCTATCTTTCAAAGAGGGAAGTGATAAAGAATTTGGAAGCTATGTTTTAAAAGTGTCCTATCAGGTTAAAGGGAAATAATTTCAGTTTTTAGGGTTAGGTGTGGAACCTCTAAAAAAACCTCAAGGGTTTAGATAATCAATGTGGAGTATGCATTATGCATGACCAGCTGGCTTACTCTGCTTAATATCTGGCATTAGATTACATTGCTACCTTAAACACGTTAAAGGATTGCACCATATCCTACATGAGAATTTCCTAACCCATCCCTCACCCCAATGTGCTTTTGATCAAAATTCAGCCCCTAAATGAGAGGTACTGACAAAGAGAGATTTGGGCTCTTTTTGATGCAGTATTATCAGTTGAGTGTCAGTTCTGGATATCTACATAGTAACATTTAAACTCTGGCAGATTGTGGAAAACCACATAGTGAGGACAATCATAAATATCATGAGCCATTTGGAAACCATTTTGTATTTCACTTTTTAGTTAGCCAGTACCTAACCTGGAAAATATAAATCAAGGATCAGTTTGATCAACCTTAGTTAACTAAGTAGCCTTTAAAAAGTGGCTTATCATTTCCTCTTTTTTTTTGATGAGTATAAGATGTATTAGCTACTGTGTGCATTCTCTTGGCTGGCCTGAAAATTGTCAAGGGCAATTGTATTATTTCGGATGATTTTAGATGACAAATTTATATTAGCTTTTGAATTTCTTAACTTATTTTTTGTGTCATAGTCAGTATGATCGCATGTTTTAGATTAGAAACTTCTAGCCAGCATAGATGCCTGTGTCCTGGACTACTCCTGGTAAGTTAACTGGGCTTTTAAAAACAATGAGTTACTAAGAGGTTTGTTTTAATTCTTGGAAAGGCAGGATGACCTGTCCAAATCACAGGTCACAGTTGATACAGTAAGTATATGAAGGCCATCTGAATACACAAGAATAGCCCTGAGGAGTATTAAGGAGACACAAATTACTGTATGAATTTAGTTGGTTTAATGGACTTCAATATATTTTGTTATGGCATCTAAATACCTTTCTCAGAAAATAACTGGACTATAGCATATCTCAGTAGTCTACGTTCCTTTTTATCCTTGATGTCCCTGGAGTGTCTTTGAGGCTCTAGGAAACATCACCAACAGTGACAATATCACTATCAGGGAGGAGCTGTGCTGGGTTAGTAATATTAACTAACTAATTTTAACAATAATAGCTATAGTTAGAAATTAATATATAACTATATAATACATAACTATAGTTAACATTAACTCTAATGGTAACCTATAGGATTTAGGGGCTAGATAACAAAAACAGCAGATTGCAGTTCCAATGATTTACAATACACCAAAGTTCTTCCGTTGGCACCTACATCTGAGTTAAGCCAAAATTGCACCTTTCCTTCAAGAAAATTTCTCAATTAAAAAAACCCTTAAAAACCTACCGATAAATTATTACATGTAATTTAAAAAAATAATTGAAGAAAACTTTGCTGAACTGGGAAAAGATTTTTATCTTAAGATTGAAATGATCCACTGATTTCATTGTGATGGTGTAAAAATATGTCTACAAATCCTTTGATACTTTTCCCTTCAAGAGGTGGACCTTTATTCTCCTTGACTGAAGGCTGAACTTAGTGACTTGCTTCTGATGACTAGAGATTGGTGGAAGTTAAAACAAATAATAATAAAGTGACAGCATGACTTTGGAGATTGTGTCTTAAAAGAACTGTAACTTCTGTGCTCTTTTCGATTACTTGCTCTAGAGGAAGCCAATTGCCATATCAGAAAGATACCTAAGCAGCTCTACAGAGAGACTCACATGGCAACAAACTGAGGCCTTCTGCCAACAGGCGTGTGAGTGTGCCATCTTGGAATTGGATTCTCCAGCCCCAGTCAAGTGTTAGATGACTGAAGCCCCAGGTAACATTTTTCACTGCAATCTTATGACAGATACCAAGCCAGAACCATCCAGCTATGCTATTCTTGAATTCCTAACCAACAGCAAATGTGAAATAAAATGTTTGTTGTTTTAAAGTGCTAAGTTTTGGAGTAATAGATAATGAATATTACCAGAAGGGCACATCAAGAAATTAAGAAAAAACTTACAAGCATCAGATGGAAAGAACAAGAAAAGAAAAAAAATCAGGTGAATACTTTTTCTTATCAGTAATAGTAGAAGCTGGGCATCAACAACTACAACTTCTGGACAAGCAAATGATTCAGTTTACCTATATACTCTATTTTTTAAAAATAATGGAAGAAATTCTCTAAAATTGAATAGAATTTAATCATGACTACACCAAGATTTTAGGGGCAAGATAAAGAGCACATCACACAAAAGGCTATTTTGCAATATTTAAGTCTAAATGGATGCTGAGAATATGAGTGGGAATTTGTAATGTTATAAAATCCATCTTGAAATAGAAATAATTTCCACTTACATAGCTTAGTATTAAACTTTCTATTACACAATTCATTGTTCAGCAGGTATTTACATGTAACTTGTTATGCAAATGTACTTAAAATAATTCTCAGCAAGTGCACTGAACTTTGATGCCCACAAATGGAACTTCTCTTAAGAACTACAAAAAACTTTCCTGCAAAAACTTTCCTGAAACATTACATCGTTAGTTTTCAGAAATGTACTAGTTTGTACAGTCTGGTGTCCTGTGTAAACTTTAGGTTATATTTAACAAGTGTGTAACCTTGTATTCAAATTTTAATGTCCATCTTCAGAAAACTAATCTTTTCTTCTGAATAATTTTGAGATGGACAGTTATTTTAACATTTGTATTTGGAAGAGGCCAGCAATAACATGCTTTATCTCTTAAATGGTGTGAGGTTGAGTATATTTAACTTTAATTACAGGTTTTAAGTTTTTGGTTTTAGTATTTAATTAGTCATCCGATGGAAAACACTCTTATTATATATAAAACTTCTATAGGTAACGTATTTTCTATATATTACAAATTATGCTTTGGTTCCCTAATGTTATTTTACCTGTCATCATTTCAATGCCGTATACATGTTGAGTTAGCATGAAACAAAATTTTAATATTGGGCTCTTACGAGACTTTTTACAGTGGCTCAAAAATAGAGGGATGTAAGGAGTCATAATTCCAATCCACCCAACGTAACTATTTACCCAGATCCCATTTCCCCTAAATTTCTTCCACCACATTGGAAAAACCGACTACAGAGAAAACCTAGTGCCTCTTGAGCAGTTTCATTCATTCTACAAGTAAGTAGACACTGTAAGGTATACGCTTCACTATTTAGCCAGGACTTTTTTTTTATTTTTTCACCCTTTTGCACCCTTTGTGCACCCTTTTGGGGGGCACAAAGCGCCCCTGGCTGCTGATAAGGATATTTCGTAAACTTCCGTCTTTCCTCTGTTTCTGCTCGGCCCACAAAAACCAGGGCATTTAAAAATTCCCAGCCTGGAGTTTGGGCACTGCCCACCCCCAGCCTAATGACGAGCCCTGGCAAGGCCCCCGCGGCTTCAGAGGGTGCACGGTATTAACACGGCTGCAGGCTCAGGCCGGCCTGAACTGCCCTCACGTGGCCGCAGGGGCCCAATGACCGAGGCCCACGCTTTCCAGACCGCCGCATGCGCTCACAGAGCCCGAGCTCGCGCCCCGCCCCGCCCCGGCCGCACGGTGCGCCTGCGTAAGTCCTCCCGTGAGGTCCCGGCCACTGCGGCTTCGGGTTCCTATCTAGCGTTGTTTCCGAACTCGGCCACGGGAACGGGTCCTGGTTGGCCGACTCTGGAGGTGTGGTCAGGACTCATTTGAGAGCAGGACCACTTCCTGAAGCTCGAGGCAGGAAGTTATCTGGTACCTCTGGAGTCCGGTGGAGAAAGTGCTGTCTGCCGCATTAGTGGCGGCGAGAGCAGGCGGTGGGCCGGTGGACTGGCCGTTTGGTCTCTCCGCAGCTAGGAGCCGGTCTCCACCGCAGCGCCACGGCCCCCTCTTACAGCCTCGACCCCGGCGCGGCTGCCGGGGGGGCTCCTGCAAGCTCCTTGACGCCGCTCCAAGGGACACCTACCTGGGCATCGCCTGGGCCTCCAGCCAGAGGACTGGCTCCCGGCTTCGGCACTCCAGGTCGCAGTAAGAAGCGCCCTTATCAACCCCAGCCCTGTCCCCCTCCCTGAGCCATCGAGACCCTGGTCCAGAGCGACAGCCTTGGACCTGGGACTGGACGGATCCAAGACGCTCAGCCCCGGCATCCCACAGACGGGGCTCTGCATCGTCCCTGATATGTCACCCACCGTCTCCCACAAGGACAACAGTCGGCAACGACGGCCAGGGACTTTCAGCCATTCTCTGGATATGAGGAGCGGTCCTTTGCCGCCGGGCGCCTGGGATGATAATCATCCGGACTTGGTGGGCGGGGAAGGGGACAAAGAAGCTCTTCTGCCGGATGTCGATGTTAGTGACCTCTCAAAACCCCCACAGAGCTGCCGGGCCGAATTAAGCAGCATTTTGCTGTTGCTCTTTCTTTACGTGCTTCAGGGCATTCCACTGGGCCTGGCGGGAAGCATCCCACTCATTTTGCAGAGCAAAAATGTTAGCTATACAGATCAAGCTTTCTTCAGTTTTGTCTTTTGGCCCTTCAGTCTCAAATTGCTCTGGGCCCCGTTGGTTGATGCGGTTTACTTTAGGAACTTCGGTCGTCGCAAATCTTGGCTTGTCCCTACGCAGTATATACTAGGACTCTTCATGATTTATCTGTCCACTCAAGTGGACCATTTTCTCGGGAATACAGACGGCAGAACCCCCGATGTAGCTGCTCTCACTGTGACCTTCTTTCTGTTTGAATTCCTGGCAGCCACTCAGGACATCGCTGTGGATGGTTGGGCGTTAACTATGTTATCCCGGGAAAACGTGGGTTATGCTTCTACTTGCAATTCAGTGGGCCAAACAGCGGGCTACTTTTTGGGCAATGTTTTGTTTTTGGCCCTTGAATCTGCTGACTTTTGTAACAAATATTTGAGGTTTCAGCCTCAACCCAGGGGAATCGTTACTCTTTCAGGTAGTGTATTTAAACTATTATGCTGTTAAATTTATTGTACATTTATGAATCCTTTTGAGACAGTGTGATGTTGAAAGGAACCATTATTTAATTTACTGGAAATCATTTTAAGGGAGGTGACCCGAGGTAAGTTTTCTCTACTACTAAAATAAGCTTCAAACAGAATGACTACCTTAGAGCAATCATAATTGATCAGTATTCTGAAGTGAGCAGGGAAAGGCAGCCCATCCAATAAATATTGTTGTGTAATAGCAAACAAAACCCTGAGTCTAGGGATCCCTTGGCACTTGCCTCAGATGCACATTTTTTCTAAGTCTGGCTAGTGTGAAGGCATGAACCCAGCCTGACTCTAAAATTTTCCTTGTGTCTTTTGTTATTGAGATTTATAGCTCTTTGTTTTCTGGTCCATTTCTACCCCTGCTCTTATACCAGGAGCCCTCATCTAGCCTTCTGGTAAATGGAACATGGCTAATTCCTTCAAACATTAATGAGTAGGCCGAGTGACAGAGTTCAAAGAGCCTCCTGTGATTAAAGCAGAATCCAGCCCACAAGAAGGTTTCTTGAAGTGGGTACGTGGAATTCCAGAATGCATAAAACACCAGATGAAAATGCATTGAAGCAGCAAAGTACAAAAAGATCCAGGACAGTATATATAACGTTCAAAGTGCCTGAAGGAGTCGTTGTGGGGACTGGTTTTAGGAAATGGTGCTGAAAGAAAGGTGACCAAATTAGTAGGCTGTGACTGAATTAAAGGTTGTTGACCAAATTCTTTAGTTGCTGTAAGGGTTTGAAGTTTATCCAGTAGGAAATTGGGTGTAAGTTCTACAAATTTCCCCTTTTTCTGCATGAGTAAAATACATGGCCCTGTAAGGTTTTCTGGGTTATTTGTTTTTTTCAAAACTTCCCTAGAACTCAGAAACAGTAGTAAAGTTACCAATGTCAAGAATAACCAACATCAGGAATATAGTAGAATTCTTCATTCTGGTAGTGATGATGAAATTAGGTGATTTTCTTTTGAAATTTAACCAGCTAAATGTCCTCTCATCTTCCCAGTACTAGGGGAGTCCCAATAGGGTAAATGTCAGGGTTAGGTGTGTGGTGAGGGAAGTTTAAGCGTTATAATATTCACAGAAGGGAAAGTGGGAAAGAGTAATACACAACTGTATTATCTCCTGAAATTGTATACACCCTTCCCCCAGCCTTACATCCTATAAAGGACCCCTTTCTACCTCTTGAAACTGCTAGTGAGCCACTACTACTGATGAAATAATAGTACTTTTCCTCAGTTGGTTTAAGGCCAAGAATGTTTGAGAGATACTGCTTTGCACCTAGACAGGTTTATCTTTGAGAGTTCTGGGATCCCACTCCTGCTCTGTGGATAATTCTCTGCCTAGAAATACTTTGTGTATGCCTCAGATCAGCACCTTGTTGCTTTTTATGTGTTTTGCTTTTTGTTTTGTACTGGGACTGTTCATATCACCAAAAAAGGCTAATAAGATTATGTGTTGCTTAACATGGGAAAGTCTCAGTAGAGAAATCAAGGTTGAAGAGACTATGGAAAATAAGTTGCTAAGTAAATTAGAGCTTTCTCTTAAGTGTGATATAGGAGTGATTAATAAATATCATTCCAGAGAATGCCATTATGCATTCAGGAGCCATTTTAACTATATCCTCCCTTAGCCAGAACTGTTTTCCCATAGGAAGGTCAAAATTGGATTTAGTGCCATTGAATTTTTATTTACACTGGTTTATTATTTTGAATAGCTGTTTGTTCTGTGGAATTTGAACTTCGTTCTCCAGGAAATTGTAAAAATAGCTTACTTTTTTTTTTTAACCAGTCATCTTTTATTGGGTGTTAATTCTCTAGAAGGATATGAAAGGATTTGGGGGTGCCGGTCAAAGGTCATGGTCAGGAATATACAGTGCACCCTCTTCAGTGGTACTTGCTTAGCCGCTATCCTCATAACAAAGGGAGTAGCTGAAAAGCGAGTAAGCTGCCTGCACCATAGAAAGCCCAGCGACACTCCCTTTCTTCACGTTGACATACTTGGAATACCAATAGTAACCTCTTTGAAATGCTCCAGTAATGCCTTTGGGGTGAAATCCCGCATCAGTATCCAGCTTGGCAGCTGCCCTAATTTGACATCCAGGAGCCTCTTCTTCAGCGGTACAGTTGACACCATCTTGGAGTCCTGGCTGTCCGCTCCTCCAGCCGTGCCAAAATAGCTTTTTGATTGAACTGTTCATATCTGTAGTGTACTGCTGGTTTTGATTCAAACATTTTAATAAGTTAAGAGTTAAAGAGTTACTGCATTTTCATTTTTTTAAATGACTGCACACATCACATTTATAGCTTTGGGTCTTTTTGGAATCTAGTAATAGTATAACTAAGAAAAAACAATGGTTTTAAGGAACTTAGCACAGAAAGAATGACGAAGGGAATACAATTGCTTAGGTGATAAAAGAAGAGCCAAACATTGAGACAGATGTTTACAAAATGAGAAAATTAGAGAGGCATAATTTTTTTTAAATTCTGAAGTACGTTCTTTAATTAACACTTTTGTTTTGAGTTACAGATACATAGAGAATATATTGAGAAAGAACAGTTTTTACCATCCAGAAAGCAGTAATCTGAATAACACATTTAGAACAGGAAGGATGGGATGAGAATAGAATCCCTTAGAAGGAAAATCTTGACTATGCTAAGATTGGCTTTTTGGTACCTTAGGGATACAGAACAGTCCTCAACTCAGAGGTGGGCTATTTTTGGTCTTGCTCCCTTGGTTTTCAAGGATCTTTGGTAGCAAAAAGAGACAACCCTATAAACTTGAAGAAATACGAGCATAACCCAGAAGAACATAGAAATCAGAACATAAAGTTTTATGACTTGAAAAGATCATATATTTCACTTCCTTCATTCTTTAGATGAGGAAACTGATCAGGAAACTAACTGGCTAGTGAGAGGTAGAGATATACCTACAGCTAAGGTTTCCTGACTATTTGGTGTTTTTCCTACACTTGGTAGGAAGCTAAGAAAAACCTCAAGGAAAGCCTTAAAACCTAAATATGTGCTGATTGGGCTTTTCTGCCAGAGAAAAGTAGCTCTCTGACTGCGATTGTCTAAGAAACATCAACACGCTCCTAGAATGCCTGATGCCCAGAAGTGACAGACTCAAGGTTTTTTGTTGTTTTGTTTTTAGTGACCTGTGTCATTCATTTACTCAGCACTGAGTGTCTAGTTGGTGCTGGTCATGTGATAGGTATTGTAATTTGATGAATAAAACCTGGGAATTCTCTGCTCACAAGGAATTTATAGTCTATAATGGAGGTTTGCAAACCAAAACGATGAATTGGTGTAAGACTGTAGGTATTGAAGGGGACAGTAATGACCCGAAAAACTCATACCCTTCTAAAAGCTCCAATAAATTGTTGTCTTGTGGCAGTAGGATCCCAGGGTTGCTAGATCTTAGGAGTATTCAAGAGAAGCTGGAAATTCCGTTTTTAGTTTCTAATTAAAAAAACCACTGGAATCATAAAATATGTCCTTAGGCCAGAGTCAGCCTGAGAACCAATAAGTTGAGGCCTGCTCCTCTGTAAGCAGTGGTAACAGTAATGAACAGAAGAAGTGATTGGGATAGGGAGCAGGACATTTGGGTTTGGAGACAGGGAGCAGGATAGTCTGATAGCAGAGAAGGGAACCAAACATATTAGAAATTATGAATCAGTATACTTATATGCACATTTGTGGGGTAAGTCAGAAAAAGGAAATGATGCTTTGAAAAAAAACTAATGCTCTAAGTATGAAAGTAATCAGATTGTTTCAGAAAATAGTAAAAACAGTATTTTTAAGACAGTCATGCTCTGAGAGAGAGCGTGTGCTGATTTCTGACCACTAAACCACCAGGGAGTGTCATGATGCTCATGCTATGAATTAGGAACAGAGCAGGACCATTAATTCTGATTTAGTAACAAATTTATTTGCCTGAAGCAGTACTCATTAATATAATTTATGTGACTAGAAATGTTCTTTAAAATTTGGGCAGAATTAACTGACCCATTCCTACATCAGTTTTTCTGACATAGGCTGTGATACATTCTTTAACATCTGTAGGTACGCTTCAAACCGTTATGTTCTCAAAAGATAAAACTATAGAGATAGAGAACGGATAAGTAGTTACTAGGGCTTGTGGGTGACGGAGGAGGTTACTATAAATGAATACCATGAAGGAGTTTTGGACGGTGATGGATCTGTTCTGTATCTTGTTTATGGCTATGGTGATATGAACTTATATATGTGTTAAAATTCATAGAACTGTACACCAAAAAAAAGACAAATTTTTAAATGAATCCATTACCTTAAAATTAATCCCTGAGTAATTCATACAAAGTATAATTTCTAAAATCCTTGAGTTTTGCTCTCTTTTTGCCTTGTGAACAAGTTCATAAGTCTGGTGGATTTCACATTTCAATACAGACAAATGGAGCAAGTTAACTTCTCAAATGTTGGGGCCCTAGTAAAGTGAGACAAGCAGAAAATACTGGGGCTACTAGATCCAGGAGAGATTAGACATTAACACCTGGATCCCACACCCCAGAAGGAAGGTCTTAAAGCCTTTTTTCTTTTTTAAAGCAAAGCAAAGGAGAAATGGTACTGTGTGCTTTCTTTTTCCAGTAAAGAACTGTGGAATTGCTTTTGTGGCTGGGGTACACAAAAGTCATTTTAAAAAATACACTGGAAGCTAAAAAATCGTTTGATTTTTCTTGGCATATGTCTTACTCTGAATTTCACTTCTAATTTTATAGAAATTTATTTGGAGGCCAATTGAATTAGCCTTTACTATGCAAATTTATCAATGAAAGAATCATAGATCCTTACTATTATAAGAAGTCTCCTACTTTCATTTATAGTATTCCTGAAAACTATAATTTAATTGGAGAAAACAAAATAGACTTACCTAATACAAGGAGATGTTCTGTTCCTAGAAATTTAAAAGTGGAAA